ATTAAGCTTGCTCCCTTCGCCACCTCATGTACTACAGGATAGAAATAAAGAAGTGAACCGGTGAATGCACAAATGCGGGAGTCTGAGGAAACCACACACACAAACAAAAAAAATCGTGTTACTTTTTTACTATTCAGCTGTAATCATTCAGTCTTCGGTTCCTGTAAAGCAAATAAAAAAAAGGAACAAGAAGAAGAAAAAAAAGAAGAAAAGAAACCAAAACTACCCACGCACGGACACATACATACATGTATTATGCATACACATGTATATATAAAGTTCCAAATACAAATAATAGAGGCTCCTTCCTCTTAAGAAGATAAATTGAGAGCTACCAATACAACTGGCAGTCGGTGATCCACTGCGGCTTTGCAAGTGAGGGCGTTTTTACAACGTCTATGGGAGTGTTGCAGGCGGTAACACCGCACAACTCAGATAGGCTGCTGGAGACCTTTTCCATCGACACAGCAGCTGTAATGTCGCTGCAAACTGCCCGATACTCATCTGGTAGTATTTCTGCCCTAAAATCAAGCAAATCGACCAAAAGCCGAAGCTCCATCATGTTAAGATCGCGGTTACTCACTCCGCCCACCTGCGCATAGTAGCTCATCGAACAGTAAAGATCATCCCGTGTTTTGGCCGCAACCACCATAGAGGTGAGAAGGACTCGATGAATGGAGCGCAAGTGTAGTGGAAAGCCTAAATGGAAAAAACGTCGGATGTACGCAAGAGCAAAGATAAAGGCTTCAGAAGTGCATTTCATGTATGTTACAAGGCGCTGCGCGTACTTTTCCAACGATATACCGGGCACAAACTCTGCGCAAAAAAAGTCGAAAGAAGGGAAAGCGCCATTGGGAGGCGCAATATCAGCCCGTGGCGCATTTTCCACTTCACCAGCCTGTAATTTCATAACGTGCTGGACGTAGATGGTTATGACCCTCGCCATCTGCACCTGCGCCGGTGTTCTCGACTTTGTTCGCGTCGGCATGCCGCTGTTCTCGAAGGCACACACGCATACACACGCGGAGACACAGCGGCAATAATAAAAAAAAAAGGGGGGAAAAAGGTACAACAAGAAGGGGGCGGAGAAGCATGACACGAGTGAAACGCATATGTACACAGCGAAATAAAAACAACAACGACAACGTGGAGAGAATCCCTCACGCACACGCACACGCACACAGAAAGAGTGGAATAATAATAATAACGAAGGGAGGGAAGTGAAAAAAAAAAAACTATCAAGGGCTTTCGTGTAAGTGTTGTTTCTTCTTTGCTCTTAAGCATT